CTAGCTGGATCCGTAACTTCTATGCTAATATTTTCTTTTCTCGCGCTGCAGGCTTGTGGACATCGCTCATGACTCCATGCTTTCCAACCAACTTTAATCTGCAAAAAAATTTAAATGCAATCTCAATGGCTATCTACTCTCCACCGATTGCTCTTTTCTTTCTCCTCTTTATTAATGTTTCTGTTCCTAATTCTCCCAGGACCTGTCACTCCTTGCGTGCCAGTGATTGTACTGTCTTGCGTGGGGTGATATCGATTTTTAAAAAAATACCAAAAAATAACCTACCTAGAGACCTGAGTAAATGGATGTCGGGACAAGATTTAGTAAAGATAACAAAATGACAAGAAGGCTTGGAAAATTTGATACTCACAGGATATATTGAAGTCAAGAGAGATAATAAGAAATCAAAGCTTTCTGCCATCTATGGTACGGTACCTGTGCTATTTTCTTGGAGTACCTCGATAAGATCCAAAGAAGAATCAACTATATTATTGGTCCTGATCTATAAACCTACCATTTATCCATGCTTATAATATTGCTGCCACACATGGTCCGGTGCCCCTGCTATTTAGCTGGAGCTCTTTGATAAGATCCAAGGAAGAATCAGAAATATTATTGGCCCTGATCTCTTATGCCTTTTTTTTATAAATACTTTTATGGTAATTTCTTCGGAAGAGCTCTTCGCTATGGTACCCTAGACTTTATGAATTTAAACGCAATACCATACTGACGAGGAAATCTCATCAATTTACAGCTGAGCTAGCAGGATGTAACCGTAATTTCTATGCTAACAGTTTCTTTTCTCGCACTTCACGCATGTGGAACTTCCTTCTGGCTTCATGCTTTCCAGTCAATTTTAATCTGCAATAAATTTAAATGCAGTGTCAGTGGCTATCTACTGTCCTCCTGGTTGCTCTTTTCTTTCTTTTCATTACTAATGTTTCGGTTCCTAATTCTTCCAAACCCTGTAACCCTTTGCGTACTAGTGGCTGTACCTCCCTTGTTTGGGGCGGTAACGATTGAAAAAAAACCCAAAAAAACTTGTCTATTCTTTCTCCAAGTGTTACAGAGATAATCACTTGATATTCAATATTCAAGAAATATATTCTTCAGAAAGAACAGTTTAACTCTTATGGTGATAAATCAGCCAGTTGCCAATCTATCTATCTATCTATCTATCTATCTATCTAAGGCAGTTTATCTATCTATCTATCTATCTAAGGCAGTTTATCTATCTATCTATCTATCTATCTATCTATCTATCTATCTATCTAAGTCTGTTTCTTTATCTATCTATCTATCTATCTATCTCTGTCTCTGTTCAGATCTATCTATCTATCTCAGTATTTTTATATCTATCTATATCAGTCTGTTTATATCTATCTATCTATCTATCTCAATCTGTTTATATCTATCGATATATCTCAGTCTGTTTCTATCTATCTATCTATCTATCTATCTATCGCAGTCTTTTTAAACGTAACAATCTGAAAAATATTGTGGTCACTGAACATGCAGCGCGTAACAAAGAAAAGAATCCTGAACTGTTACGTGACATCTGTCCTTCTTTACAGCAATGAATGTTGGATGATTCCCTCAAAGATGAAGAAGAGACTCGAAGCGACAGAGATGTGGTTCTACAGAAGGATGCTAAGGATATCATAGACCGAGCGTGTGAGCAACGATGAGGTCTTAGAGAGGTTGCAAACAAGGAAAAGGCTTATACTTAACATCAGAAAGAGGCAGCTGAAGTTTCTAGGACACATAATGAGGAAGGAGGCCCTGGAGAATCTGATACTCACGGGTCGAATAGAGGGAAAGAGAGACAAGGAAAAACAACGCGAGATATACTTAATGGGCTTGAGCAAGTGGATGGCAGGACAGGGTCTGGGGGAGGAAGCAGAGGGGAGAAACTTGTTGAGAACTGCAATGGATAGAGGGAGGCGGAGAGCCATTATCACTGAAAGGACATGGCACATAAAAAGAAAAAAGAATATTTTTCAATCTTTGTAATCACCATTAGACTCATCCAACTCTTCGAGCAGTTAATCTTTTGCCCGAGATGTGTCTTCAAAAATGCTCTCATTTAACCACCATGGACAAACCTTTCTGATTGCAATTAGCATGGCTGACGCTAGACTCCTGGGAAGCAACGCACTGCGTCTTTTTGGCTTAACGTTTTCTACTGACTTGAAGTGGAGCGACTAGATTGAATCAATAGCTGCATCTACTGCAAGGAAACTTGGGTCACTGAGTCGCATCAGAAGGTTGTTCTTCTCAGAGTCCATCTTGCACATTTACAAATCTACCATTCGTCTGTACATTGGATATTGATGCCATATCTGGTCTGGTGTTCCTGCTACTCGAGGTTCTTGGCAAAATCCAAAGACGAATCTGCAATGTAATCGATCATGACTTGGCATCTCGGTTTTAGTCTCTTTCTCACCAACCTGACGTGTCTTCCCTCTGTCTTTTCTACAGATATTTTCAGGGCAACAGCTCTGACGAGCTTTTATCCCCGTAAACCCGACTACATGAATTCAAACGTGCTACTAGATTGGCATCTAGGTCCCACCCTTTTACTGTTGAAATAGTTATATACCACCACCATTTCGACTCCAAGAGTTTCTTTTCTCGCACTTCCCACCCGTGGAACTTCTTTCCATTTATTTTCTTCCCTGATAGCTACAATCTTTTACAAATTTAAATATATCATCAATCGCTATCATCTATCTTCTTGAATTCTGTTCATCTTTTGTCCTTACTTCAAGCCTCCCGATACTCAGTCTTTTCTCTCACTTTCACTTCTTGTAACTCACCCACCATACTAGTTGAATTCCCGCCTTGCTTGGGGTGAAATGGTTAAAAAAATTTGAACTCTGTTGATTCTATTTTCAGTCTTAGTACCCGTTATAGCACCCACACATTCCATTATTGTATTAACTACTAGCAGCATGGCCCGGCGTTGCCCGTGCTGGATTCAAAAATCGTACGACTCATACAGCAATCGCTATCACTTGACTTAAAATATTTTTGCCCTTCCTTGCCTTTAAAGGAATGCCCTTTGCCGTGCTGATGTTGCTACATGCCTTACTTCTTGCCTATCTCACACTGCCAATTTTTTCTAAGCTCTATACTAAACATTAAATCTGTTACGAAAAAAAAAACCAAACAAAATGAACACAAAACAATCAGCTTTAAAAAAGGACTTGTAACTGGAAAAAACAAATGAAAAAAGAATGTTAACAACAAATACTTTTTCACACCCAACCCAGTTCTGCGGAATCAGAATCAACGTTGAGTTTAAGCAAGCGAATGAGCCAATTGGAGTAAAGTGTCATGCAGATTTAAATTTTTCCCACTTGTGACGAATGCAGCTATCGATTTTTTTTTGCATGCTAGCATGCTAGTTAACATTCGTGTCAGTCAGCTGTTGGCTCTCACGCTGGCCAATATAATCTTTCTGCCTATTCGTGGCAGCCAGCTATAGGCTCTCACTCTGGCCAGTAGAAAATGGCCGCAAACTACATAAAAACTGCCGTAGAAGCATGAAAACATCGATTATTTCCACTATCGATGGGAGTTGGGAAATGCAAAGTCGGTCTTGGCCTTTTCGCTAACTTGGAGCATGTGCATGTAAATTTTGGTGAAAATACGTCGAAAATTACGGCCGTGCATTCGTTACACACACACACACACATCCTGCCTTCAATATTAAAATAAAAATAATTATGGGATAATTGAATATTTGCAAGTGTCAGAGGTCGTTGGCTGAGCCGTAATAAAACCGCAAAATTTAGAAGGTTGTCCTTCTTGGGTGGCAAACTCGCTCACATTGGGAACATTGATCTAATTTGATCTTTGTTCCTATCATACTATGTGGACTTGCATCAAGCTAAACTTTGCTTGGTGCAGAGCAATCACTTTTTGTCTTTATCTCCTGACTCGATTTTCTTAAGGTCATCCATCGATATTGGACAGAAATCACACAAGCGAACAGGGGATTTTATTTTATTTTTTTTTTAATTTCCTTTTACACTTTTATACTTACGTATTTTATTGATGTTCGTTTTAGATGATTATTGGCTCCAGTGTTATTACCAAGGGCAAAGGTTTTAAGGGCGGAGAAAGACGAAGAGAAATGGCGTCTTGTATCTTGGTTAACATTTATGGTAGATTAATTCTGCGAGAGATGAGCGGTCGAGTTTTTTTTTTTTTTTTTTAATTTACTTTTCTTTTCCGAAGATCTACAACGAACCATGGAAACGATGAGCGCTAAAACTATGGATATATCCATCAGTCCAAAAGAAAGAAAGAAAGAAAGAAAGAAAGAAAGAAAGAAAGAAAGAAAGAAAGGGAAAGAAAAGAGTGCACGGGAAACGAAGGAAAGGAAGATAGCTTATGGAGAAGCCTGTATATAGACTATGAAAGAAAGAAAGAAAGAAAGAAAGAAAGAAAGAAAGAAAGAAATCATTGAAAAAAAGACGAGAGGGGAAAGAAAGAAAGAAAGAAAGAAAGAAAGAAAGAAAGAAAGAAAGAAAGAAAGAAATGTTTGCAAAAAGACGAGAAAGAAAGAAAGAAAGGAAATGGTTAAAAATGAGGCTAAAAAAGAAAGAAAATGTACTACTGAACGAAATAAAGATGAAAAAAAGAAAGAAATAGGCTAAAAATGAAAGAAAAAGAAAAGGTTCAAACGAAAGAAAGAAAGAAAGAAAGAAAAATAAAGAACAGAAATAAAGGGAGAAAGAAAGAAAGAAAAAGATATAATAAAGGAAACGGTTAAAAAGAAAGAAACAAACAAGTTTAGAAAAAGGAAGGAAGTGGGGAAAAGAATAGACTAAAATGAAAGAAATAAAATGTTTAAAAGGAAAGAAGGAAGGAAGGAGGGAAAGGAAGGGAGGAAGGAAAGGAAGGAAGGAAGGAAGGAAGGAAGGAAGGAAAGGAAGGAGGGAAAGGAAAGAAGGAAGGAAGGAAGGATGGAAGGAAGGAAGGAAGGAAGG